CCCAGGAGCCTCTCAGGGATCAGTTCTGAGTCCAGCTCCAAACCTACTGCAGAGATTCTGGGGGTGAAGAAAAAATCAACATTTGACATTCTCATGGGAGATTGTGATGCAGGAAGTCTATGGAGCACAGGCTGAGAAGTACTGGGGTGTTTCAGGAGACAGGTTACCTGGTGGGAGGCTGGCTCTAGGACTTTGGAACAACATACTTATTGGCATGTATTCAAATGGCAGTGAATGAGCATAGTGATCTAAAGACCTTAAAACATGAGGGCTGCTTTTAAGTCCTTCAGGATACATAGGGTCTCTAAGTCAAATGGAGATCCCACACGTACATCATGTCACGTTTTTAAAAATTTTATTTTATTGGAGAACAGTGTGTTTTTCCAGGACCCATCAGCTCCAAGTACAGTAGTTGTTTCAATCTAGTTGTGCTGGGCACAACTCAGTGGCCCATATGGGGATCAAATCAGCAATCTTGGTGTTATGAGCCTGCGCTCTATCAACTGAGCTAACTGGCTGCCCCCGTGTCACATTTTTAAAAGCAGATGCTATAGTCAATTTTTTGCTGTAAAATTTGCAGAATATTTAAAGTTTGATTTTGAAATTATTTGGCTAAAACATGAGGAAAAAAATCATTAAGCTGGAGAATTAAGATTATTGTTGGATACACACTTTTCTTATGTATATTTTGCCTCAATAAAAAATAAAACAGAAGCAAAAATTATTTAGTAGCATGTAAATCATATATTTATTGTAAACTATAATTTCATGATAATCATTCTGTAAATTTGGGGTTATTGCAAAGTAAGAATATCTAACCTACACAGTACTTTCAAATGGAAAGACCTTTTATAGATACTAAACCCAGCACTTAAAGAATTGCATGAATTACATTTTGTAGGTAATTAATTAAACTTTTGTTCATCTGTTTGTGACTTCTTCTTTAGAACTTTGTATCCAAATATGCATAGTGATGTAAAGTTATTTCTTGGCCAATTGGATATCTCACAGCTCTTAGACACAACAAACCACTTGCATCTTAACTATTTTTATTCCCTTGTTTCTTTTTCTGTATTCCTTTTAATCTTTTTCTTAACTGGTTGCCGTGGAAATAGCAATTAGCATCTTAACCTAAAACAATCAGTTCAGATTCATACCAGTTTTCTCCCAATACAACTTTATTACCGTCCCCTTTGAGCTGTTATTATCATACAAATTTCATCTTTATACACTATGAACCCATCAAACAGGTTTAACAGTTTTCCTAATGCAGGTGTCTTTTCCATCACATAGGGAATACACCTACATTTGTACTATCTTTCATACTTATTATGTGGTTACCTTTACTGTGCTCTTTATGTCTTCATGTGGATTCAAGGTGCTGCCTAAGAATTAGGCCTGGCACCTCAAACACACTGACTCACTGGCTACCAGCCCCCAGGAAACAGTAGGCATGGCTGCGCTCCCATCCCCCACACTCACCCCCAGGGACCTTGGAAGGACCCTTGAATACTGAAATCCCACCTCGAGAAGGATGGACTTCTGCAAGTTGTGTTCACCACTGGTATCTGCACAGGTCAACAACCACCAGGTTTTCTTTCCCCGACAGCGGAGAGAAGGGTCTCCACAGATTCCTCACCTGATACACAGGCGGGTGAGACTTCTCCGGGGGCCCTCAGCATATGGTTCTAGATCCCACTACACCCACAAAGGTGCTGTTGTTCACAGATAGATATCTAATTTGTTGTTAATTGCTCATAACTTCTTTTTGTAACCATGTCTCTATCTGTACTTTAGTACAAGCTCTCTATCTCCTTTTGATTCTGGGTACAGTATATTTCACCTGTCTAATTTCCCAGATGAGGTGGTCAGGCAACGGGGCAGCGGTTGGCAGGGAACTCCCTTTCCCATCCTGACCCCAGGCTATCTGCCCCTTGCTGCCCTCTCACTTCTGCCCAAAGTAGCTCGTAGTCTAAAGCACCTTGCCAGGGATGCCAAGGAGGATTGAGCAAGTTAGGATATTTCGGGAACTCAAAGGCTGGGCGAGATGCACTCAGCCATGGATTGGGCTGTACCTTGGACCATGGTTGGTGGGGCTGAAGTGGAAATACAAGAGGGACAGCCTAGTCCAGACCCTGAATCTCAGGAGAAGCCTCTTCAGCTCCNCATCTGTGAAGAAAAAATGCAGGTCAGGCTTGTGGTTCGAAGAAAAGGACCTGAGGCACCCCCTCCCCCAACTCTGAGACAGCAGAGAACCCCCCTAATGTCTGGGCTGGCAGAGCAAGGACTGACCCTTCTCAGCCCCTCTCTTCACCCATTAAAGGCCAATGCCACACACCCCCCCTCTTGCTTGAGGAGAACCAGGAGGCTTCTGCCTGGCAAGAAATCACGCATCCCTGGATATGTCCCCCCTGTCTACAAGGCCAATATCCAGCATGATCCAGCCCATAACCACTGCAGGGACATGCCATGCTCTGTAGGGAAAAAAACGGTCTAGATGCCAGAACTAGACTGTCAGAAACTAGCCAGTGCCCTGTGGGGAGAAGGTAGAGTGTGTCAGGGCTGCTTCTGAGGAAACTAGATGACGGTGTGTCAGGGTGAGGAGAGAACCCACCATTGGAAAAGGGAGAGCTGACGATTATGAGTCCTGGGATTTAGCACAGCCCTGGGAGATGATGCTTATCTGCTACTAGGATGGGTCTTGGGACTTTGGGAAAAAGGTGGCTACACTGCATGGAGCAGATAATCCAGAACTTCTGAGGCAGGTTGCACCTAGTGTGTGACTGACATCATCCCTGGGATTCCAAAGCATCATCATGGCTCCCCCATTATTAAAGTGGTGCATGGGCATTGGGAGGGCAGGGGATGAATAGACACCTGTCCAAGGTGCTGCTCATTAGAGGCGTCACTTCGTCCAAAGACCCAACAGTGGTCATTTCACACTCCCTGGATTTGTACCAAAAATGCAAAATCTTTGCAGTTAGTGAATGAGCTATCGGGTAAGGGCAACCAGAGTAGAGAAGTACAAGTACTTCCTTCTCACCCCGTCCTCCCTCTTCTTCAAGGAGAATGTTAACACAGTATCACATCCTGGGTGAAATGACAGGGATTAGGAGCAACACTAACCTTTAGGATGAAGAGGCAGAAGCCCTATCCTCACCCCATTTAATAGCAGCCTGGTCTGAAGCCTTTCTGTTAATGGGTGTCTATTAAGTATTTCAGGCTTTGTGGAACCTAAGAATGTGGCAGGTACTCAATGCTGTTGCAGCACGAAAGCTTCTGTACACAATACATAAATGAATGAGTGTGACTGACCTGCCACTGGGCCCCATGCTCCACAAACCTGTGACACTGGACGTATCTGTGAGAGGACAAGATGCTATGTGGATTTCATGGCATCCTAAGTGGAGAATCACATCACAGACCCGTAGGTCAGGAGCAGGGCCATGCCACTTGCAGTGGGGACATCCACACATTTGAAAGTGGCTCCTGGTTTGGTGCTGGGGCCTGGTAGAGATGAGGCCTCTGGTCATTGGATATCAGAGTTGCCCATCATGAGGTGGTTTCATCAACACACTAATTCCTTGGGTCAGGTAGGACCACAGGTCATAAGATACAAGTGATTTTCCTGGAATTGACATGAGCAGGGTCACAGGGAACAAATGAGATACAGAGCAGGTGTCCCTGATCTTGACACCAGAAATATTGCACCAGCATGACCCTCAGCTCACACCTATGGCTTCGTGCAGTGTCTCAAAGGCCCCCTTGGGCCAAGGAATCCAGTCTACAGAAAGGAGAGGAGCAGTGGCCCACGCCTGTGGGACCCACATCCCATCATATTCACTCCACCCAGAAGCCTCGGGAAGCACAGGGCACATTTCTGGCTCTTCAACAATAGCAGAGTCTCCCTGGGAGATGATTCCCTAGGGCAGAGGGGCAGCCATGTCTGGGACACCCTGAATACCCTAAATCTGGGGTCAGCAAACCAGGACAGTGGCCAATCTGGTTTCCCTTTCATATGCGTGTTGTCTTTTCTGCTTTTGCATCACAAACATGGAGGGGTGTAGTGCATACAGAGACAGATACTATGAGGTCTGTAGAGACAAAAATCTACAATCTACCCTTTATAGAAAAAGTTTGCCAACTCCTATCTAAATCTATGACCTTTACATGGCGCTCTCTCCCCAGGAGGTAGAAAATAAGGTTGGGACCAAAGGGTAAAGTGTGAGTACCCGAATTTGCCATCATTCCCTGGGTCATATTTTGGGAAACTGTGCTTCCTGTCCCTCCTACTCTGGGTTCTGTGGGGGGCAGGTTTGGAGGCTTTTACTGGGTGTGTCCTCAGGGCAGGAGGATAAGGTGCCATTTTGTGGAGGAAGGGTTAGGGCCACTTAGGGACTGTAGGTGTTGGAGGCACTCGGGTTCATGGGGACAGGGTGAAATGCACAGTGAAAGAGTTTGCTGAGCTGGGCGGAGGAGCAGTGAGTCAGGAAGGGAATTGGCAGAGATGTTTCTGGAAAATTGAGCAAGTGGGGCTGCAGATTCCTGATCTGCTGCCAAAGCACGCTGGGAATTCAGTGGGGGGCATTTTGGAGGGTTTGCTTGGGCAAGTTCTCTCAGCAGAGTAGGGTCCTGAGGTTATCTGTCGGTGGCATGTCCATCTGAGGTCCCTGGGGCTGTAGTTGCCACTTCCAGAGGGGCTAGCTGGGGACTGGGGGTGGGGTGGAACTTTAAATGAAATTCCTGGCTGGCTGTCTCTCTCACCATCCCACCTAAAAGCATTACTTTTTTTGCCCAAGCCGCCTCTTTTCTGTCCCTCTCCTTGCCCAGTGGTGGGCAATAACTACCCCCGCGGACGCAGCCCAGGCTGAAAAGACCCCTTGGAAGGATTTGAGGAGGAGGCCGCGGCGCCACTTTTCGGGAAGGTTCCCGAACCCCTGTGGGCACCCGGTCCAGGACCCGGTCTTATGCTACCTCCTCTCCTCCCTCTTCTCTGCCCCCCACCGACGCACTGCAGGTGACATCCCTAACTCACTGCTCCGCGCCGCCCAGGGACAGTCCAATAGCAGAAGCCGGACCAGGAGGACAAGATTGAACTTGGTGCTCACAACCCGCGCTTTCGCGACCTGGAGTCCGGTAGCCACCCTGCCGTGGCGCGGAGCCGCGTCCATAAGGTCTGAGGAGGGAATGAATCCCCAGGTGGTCCCTGCCTGCGCCCCTCCGGGTTACCCTCTCCAATGGCCCACCCTCCAGCTCCTTGGGGGCAGAGTGCCTGAAAATTTCAATCCCTTCTCCAGCCCATTCTTCCGGCTTCTATTTTTTTCAGTCTCCTTTCCGATGTCACACTCACTCCTTTTATTAAAAGACTCACGATTTGGTTCCCGAGAGCACTTCCATTTTAATGAAATGGGCTGAAGACAGCCCTTAGCAGTCCTGTCATCCACGATGTGTTTTGTAGTAGTTTCTAACCCAGTGGAGTCCGAGGCATTTTGTTAACCAAAGTAATTCCTCTTTGGATAAGTTTGGGGTACTGAGGTCCAAATTTATATTTCAAGTTTCTCCTGCAGACAGACTTCAGAACACCCAGGGTGCCACATAGAGCCTCTGATAAGGGCCACCTGGCACTTAAAGCTTCCAGGACAGCACAGGCCGGTTTTAGCCTCTTTGGCCTTTTCCTGCTCACACTTGTCTTTCATTCAATCATTCTTGCAGCATCCACCCAACACTTAGGTAATGTGGATCACCTCTGGGATAAAAAATGTAATCAAAAGGCCAGTTGAGTGGCTCAGTTGGTTAAGAGCTCGCTTAAGGGTTTGAGCTCTGAGCAACAGCAGTTTGAGTCCAGCCTGAGCTGAGCTGACCAAAAAAAAAGGAATCAAGAGTGAAACAAATGCCACTTGAGCACTTGAGACTGGGAAACTCCCCTGATTGCTGTTCAGTGGGTCCTGTCTATGATTCTATTTCTGGTTTTCAGACACCTCAAGTCACAGAGGAAATACTCTGGCCTGCAGTACATGGCCCTTCTCGCTCATCAGGAGAGACCCTGGCCCATGGCTTCTGGGAAGGCTGAACAATTAGTAGACCTGTGCTGGTCCTCAGCACATGCAAGCTCAGGGCTACTGGCATGATCTCCTCACTTAATCTCTTTTCATTCCCTGAGGTGGCATTTCCTATAGTACAACTGTGGAAATGGATGCAGAAACTAGCACAGACCCATCAGCCAGAATTTCATCGAGATACATGATTCCTGTTTCTGGGAATATGATCTCCTCCATTAAAATTGCTTCAGGAGCCAATTGCACCAGCTCCTGTGGTCTGCTGGGAGCCCGGGGACCAGGAGCATGCACTGGGGGTGAGCCAGGGATGCCCAGGTACCCACAGAGGTCCATTCTCCTTCCACATGTCATTCCTGCCAGGCTCTAATGCCAGCCTTCTGCCTCCCTCGTGTTCTCCTACTACTTGCCTACTTAACCCAGCCTCGTGGGTTAAGCCTACCAGGCCCTTCCTGATTGCCTCCTCTCAGAGATTAAACCTGGGCTTCTGACCCCCATCCTTAGGCATGGAAATCTCTTCCAACATGCAGATCACCTGGGCCCACCAAGATCTGGCCGGACCCAATCCTGAATCCTGCCCAGTCCATGTGTCTCTCATCTCCCAAACCACCCAGCACAGTTCCCTCCTGCATAGAGACTCTAGTGAATCAATCCAGAACCTTCTACCTCCTTTATACTTGCTAATTTACACAGTTTTCTGCTATCCAGGTCCCTGAACTCAAGTAGAGACAGGCCCTGCATCCTGGCACAGGCCTCCTTCGCTTGCCCACAGCCTAGGACAGGGGGACTTATTGTCACTTGAGCTCATTGTCTTCACATGGAGAATGTGTGAAAGAGGAGTTCTTAGTCTACTTTGCTCATTTAATGGAGAAAAGGCTCTCTGGATGGAGGCACACCGGGACGCAGGGGTTTTCCAGACCTCACACAGGCTAAGACCTCCCCAGCAGCCAGGGGCCACAAGACTCCAACCTCCATCTCATCTCTGTCCACAATACCCACTGCCTTTATAAGGTCCAAGATAAAGATCCATGAGGGGCTGCGTGCTGGGGATGCCCAGAGTGATCATAGTGATAAACTGAGTGGAGGTGGGGTTGTAGCCAGGGAATCAGGGATGGTTTGCCACAGATGGCTGTGGTGTAAGTGAGCCCCATACCTGGGGAGAACCTTCCCTCTGCTTCCCCAAGGTAATTCAATTCATGACAGATGATTGAGCATCAGCATGGACTAGACTCTGGTTTACAAACATGACAAAGGGACACATTGTATTTCCAATGACCACATGACTGGTGAAGCACACCGATAGAGCACCTCTCACCAGGTGTGGTATCCTTACTGTGGACCTGGGTGTTAGGACACAGGGGAGGGGAGCGGAGATGATTAATTTAGCCTGCGGACATGTAATAAATGGGTGAACTTTGAGTAAAGAGATTGCCTCCATCATGTTGGTAGGCCTTGTCGAATCAGGTGAAGGCCTGAAAAGAACAGTAAGACTGATCGCCCACAGAAGAGGGAATTCTCCAGCAGACTGCCTTCAGACTTCATGTGCACTTCTGGCTCTCCTGGGCTCCAGGATGCCAGCCTACCCTGCAGGTTTTGGACTCGACAGCCTCTGTAATCACGTAAGCCAATACTTTATATTAATAAGAAATCTATCTGCATATCTATCTATCCCTCCACATCGTCATGATCTGTTTCTCTGGAGAACCGAGACTAAAACAGGAAGGAAAGGAAGACTTAATGGGAGGTGATATTTGTGCCCAGTTTTCCAGACCCCTGGCTCTTGACCAGTGGGAACCAGATACCTGACAGAGTTGGGCCACAACAGAAAGTCCAGAGGCACGATGGTAGGGACCAGCAGACTGGCCAGTGGCCTGACCTTAGAGTACTGGAGAGGAAGAGATTTCAGGAGGTGAAATGGATCAGAGAGGGAGACTATGTGGGAAACCCCTCTGGCAGTCATGAGTTTCACGCAGGAAAGTCATTAGAAACACACACACACACACACACACACACACACACACACACACACACAGTGGGCTGAGAGGCTTGATCTGTCTCAGAGCTGCTAAGCCCTGTTCTCTACTTTAGGTACCTGGAGGGTCCTGCATCAATGTGATGGTCAGGATCTATCAACACTGAATTTGCACACCTTCCATTCCCAGCCTGAGTGGCTTGTATCTCTAGAAAGGCCTGGAATGACCATGCTGATAAGGGAGAAGGAGAAGCTGATGAAGGCTGCAGACCAGAAGGGTGAGAAGGGAATGAAGGGAGGACCTGCCTATGAAGAAGCAGCAGGCTCTATATTGTATTTGTTGAGCTATTTAATTTCTAACATGAAATTCTGAATTTATTTAAAATTATGTTTTTCTAAATGCCCATTTTAAATAACTATTGTTATATAAAAACTTCTGAAACATCATAAACTGATACAGAAGTTGTGAGTCCTGTACAGAATATTTCTCTTCCTGAACCTTATGACAGCACTGTCACACTGATGTCCCCCATTTTTTGTGATATCCTTCCAGCCTTTGCCAGCTTCTCCCTCCTTTCCCTCATCAGCATGGTCAGCCCAGGCCCTGTAGAGAAACAAGCATCCCAGGCTGGGAATGGAAGGTGTGCAAATTCAGTGTTGATAGATCCTGACCATCACATTGATGCAGGACCCTCCAGGTAACTAGATAAGAGAAGAGGGCTTAGCAGCTCTGAGACAGATCAAGCCTCTAAACCGTGTGTGTGTGTGTGTGTGTGTGTGTGTGTGTGTGTGTGTGTGTGTGTGTGTACTTTAGTATCTCCTGCAAACCAGGACACTCTCCAATAGATTNCACACACAAGTCACCCCTCACAAACCTTCCTCATGAAAGATCCCCGCACCCCTCCACCACCCCGCATACACCTCCCCTACCACACACACTTTCTCCCCGACACAAGGCCCCGCCTGCCTGCCACACACACACTCCGCCCTCTGTAAAGTCACCCTGGCTTCCCTCTCCATGTGTACCCTTGCTGCCTCATATTATTGTCACACACACTATTCAACACAAAGTCCTACCCCCCTCCTCCAAAATCTTCCACGCACAACATTCCAATCGGCTTCCACTGTAACCTCCCGAAACTCTCCTCTCACAGACATTTCCCTGAGACACACTACCTCTTACACACAGGGTGCCCCCCAAGTGCACCCCACTCTCACACTCCCATACCACACTACATACCCCGCTTCGATCCTGTGCTAACCTGTGCAGTCACAGATACAGCCGTCTCTCAGACACCTCTGAGGAACACCACACACACACACACACACACACACACACACGCGCGCGTGCGCGCGCCCAAAAACTCCCCGAACTTCTCACTCAAGTTTTACTTGTCCCCCTTGTCCTGCCAATACCTTCTCCCTCTTGCTTGTTCAGTGTCCTCACCCTCACCCTTCTAGTAACAAATAAATGAGTGTCACTGTCACACATAGTCTCCTCTTCTGCCCTCCTCCCCTCATGCGCACTCTGTCTCTATGTCTGACTGTCTGTCTGTCTGTCTCTCTCACACACACACACCAGGCCCAGTCCTCCCCAGACAGGGAGCCTTCGCAGCCTCAGAGCCCTCAACTTGGGAGGTTCTGCAAGGAGGCTGCTGCCAGGTGCTCTGCACCTGGGCTGAGCCAGGAATGACCAGATGCTTATCTAAACCCTAGGAAGGTGCCTGCTCCTTGTTGATGTCCCAGCCTTGTCTCTAACTGCTCACCAACCACCCTCTCCCTGGCAGCACAGCCCAGGCACCACCCTAGATGTTAGGGACAGCAACATCCTGCCCAGCTGCCTCCTCCCAGCCCCAGGTAAGGGCCTCTCTTTTCCACAAATGGATCACGTGGTGCAGCTGTCCCACCCAAGTCAGAATACAGCGACTTCCTCAAATTCTCAGCACAAGGGACATGGCTCCTGCTGGGGAAAGATGCTAGCCGGGATCAGGCCAGAGTTCCCTATGCTCACTTCTACACAAAATTTCACAGGGTCCCCATCCAACCTCCTTCCTAGCTCTAAATCAGGAAGGACCCCGGGGCATAGTGTAGACTTCTTGCCCACTGGCCCCTGACAATGTGCCCCTTTGTAACTCAAAGCTTATCCTACTTACGGGGTAACTTTATGAAGTAGGAGATCTTAGCCAACTCCTCTCAGCTGTGTGGTGAGAGGGCTCAGCAGAGTGCAAGGGCAGCAATCTGGATATAAGTGGGAGTAAAGACCCCTCCGTGACTTACAGGGTGAGGCTTAATAGAAAGCGGTATTAAACTATGCAAAAGAGTGACTACAAGACACAGGGAGATGCTACCTGGTCCCCTAGGGTTGAGGACAACCTTGGAANCATCTGTGAAGAAAAAATGCAGGTCAGGCTTGTGGTTCGAAGAAAAGGACCTGAGGCACCCCCTCCCCCAACTCTGAGACAGCAGAGAACCCCCCTAATGTCTGGGCTGGCAGAGCATGGACTGACCCTTCTCAGCCCCTCTCTTCACCCATTAAAGACCAATGCCACACACACACCTCTGCTAGAGAAGAACCAGTAGGCTTCTGCCTGGCAAGAAATCATGCAACCCTGGATATGTCCCCCTTGTCTACAGCCCAATATCCAGCATGAGTCAGCCCATAACCACTGCAGGGACATGCCATGCTCTGTAGGGGAAAAAAACGGTCTAGATGCCAGAACTAGACTGTCAGAAACTAGCCAGTACCCTGTGGGGAGAAGGTAGAGTGTGTCAGGGCTGCTCCTGAGGAAACTGGATGACGGTGTGTCGGGGTGAGGAGAGAACCCAGCATTGGAGAAGGGAGAGCTGACGATTATGAGTCCTGGGATTTAGCACAGCCCTGGGAGATGGTGCTTTTCTGCTACTAGGATGGGTCTTGGGACTTTGGGGAAAAGGTGGCTACACTGCATGGAGTAGATAATCCAGAACTTCTGAGGCTGGTTGCACCTAGTGTGTGACTGACATCATCCCTGGGATCCCAAAGCATCATCATGGCTCCCCCATTATTAAAGTGGTGCCCGGGGTGAGTGACGAATAGATATTGTCCCAGGTCATACTCATTAGAGGTGTCACTGGGTCCAAAGACCCAAATGTGCTCATTTGACACTCCCTGGATTTGTTCCAAGAATGCGGAATCTTTGCAGTTAGTGAATGAGCTATGGGGTGAGGACGACCAGAGTAGAGAAGTAAGTACTTCCTTTTCATCCCGTCCTCCCTCTTCTCCAAGGAGAATGTTAGCACAGTATCACATCCTGGGTGAAATGACAGGGATTAGGAGCAACCCTAACCTTTAGGATGCAGGCGCAGAAGCCCAATCTCTCCCCATTTAATAGCAGCCTGGTCTGAAGCCTTTCTGTTAATGGTTGTATATTAAATATTCTAGGCTTTGCGGATCCTAAGTCTGTGGCAGCTACTCAACTCTGCTGAAGCACAAAAACATCCATACGCAATACATGAATGAACGAGTGTGCCTGACCTGCCACTGGGCCCCTGCTCCACAAACCTGTGACACTGGACGTATCTGTGGGAGAACAAGGTGCTATGTGGACTCCACGACACCCTACGTGGAGAATCACATCTCAGACCCATAGGTCAGGAGCAGGGCCATGCCACTTGCAGTGGGGACATCCACACATTTGAAAGTGGCTCCTGGTTTGGTGCTGGGAGTGGTAGAGACGAGGCCTCTGGCCACAGGTTATCAGAGCTGCCCATCCTGAGGTGGGCTTATCAGCACACTAACTTCTTGGGTCATATAGGCCCAGAGGTCGTAAGATAGAAGTGATTTTTCTGGAATCGGCATGAGCAGGGTCACAGGGAACAAGTTCGATGTAGACGCAGGTGACCCTGATCTTGATACCAGAAGTATTGCACCAGCATGACCCTCAGCTCACACCTGTGGCGTCATACAGTATCTCACAGACCCCTTTAGGGCAAGGATCCAGTGTACAGAAAGGAGGGGTACAGTAGCCCACACCTGTTGAAACTACATCCTCTCCATTCTCTCCACTCAGAAACCACAGGCAGAACAGGGCACATTTCTTGCTTTCCAACACACAGAGGAGACTACCCAAGAAATGATTCCCTTGAGGACTGGGTCACCCACTTCTGCATATCTATATACCCTAAATCTGGGGTCAGCAGTCTTGTCCAGTGTATAAATCAGGTCCCTCATCCATTTCCATGTTGTCTTTGGCTATTTTGTACCTGGAGACGGCAGCCTGTACGGCATAAGAGGCAGATGCTGAGTGGACTGCAACAATCAAACGTTTTAAGAATAAGGAAAGAGGGCCGGCCGAGTGGCTCAGTTGGTTAAGAGCACGAGCTCTTAGCTACAGGGTTGCCGGTTCGATTCCCACATGAGCCAGTGACACTATACCTGAGCTGAGCTGCCGCTAAGCTGTCGCTGAGCTGCCAACAGGTGGTAGGATGGCTCAGCTGGTGAGAACACGTGCTCCTAACAACAAGGTTGTTGGTTTGACTCCCGCTTGGTAGATTGAACTCAGCACTTTCAGCTGAGCGCCGCGAGCTGCCAGCGGGCAGCCGGAGGGTTACTGAGCTTGGAGCTGAGTTAGCTGCGCCCTCCACAACTAAGACTGACGGACAACAACTTGGCTGTTCCCTTCCCCAATTCCCCAACAGTGGCCCTTTTTCCAAATAAAATCTTTCAATAATAATAATAATAATAATAATAATAATAATAATAATAATGATGATGAAAGAATTCTAAAAGCAACTACATAAAGAAAAGAAAATTGTAAACACAAGAAACCCCCATTAGACTGTCAGTGCATTTCCTAGCAGACCCCTAAAGGCCAGGATAAAGCGGAACGATATATACAAAGTGTTGGAGGAAAAAACCTGCCAACCAGGAGTAGTGTGTATAACAAAATTACTCTTCACACCTGAAGGAGAAACAAAGACCTTCCCCAAAAAACAAAAGCTGAGGGAGATCATCCCCGGATCTGCCTCTCAAGAAATACTGAAAGGAGCACTTCAAGTGAAATAAAAAGGCACTAATTACCAACATGAAAATATATGAAAGTAGACAACCCACTGGGAAAGGTCAATATACAGTAAGGCTTACAAAACTCTAAATACGTAATAATGTGGTGTGTTAACCATTTATCTTTTGTATAAAACTCAAAGGAAAAGAGTAATAAAAATAATTATAGCTATTATAATGTGTGACATACACAATAAAAAAAGAGGTAACTGAGAATATCAAAATAGAAAATGGGAGACTAAACAGGAGAAGCTTTTGTAGACAATAAAAGTTAACTTGCTATCAGCCTAAAATGGGCTGTCTTATCTATGAAATGTCTTATATAAATCTCATGACAACTACCAAGCAAAAACTTGAACAGATGGAGTAAAGATAAAGATAGGGAAACAGAGCATCCCAACTCAGAAAATCACCAATTTACAAAGATACACAGAAACAGAAAGAAAAAAAAAAGATGGGTAAGAAAAAACAGCACTGAACAAGATACATTAATAAATTCTCACATATCAATAACATAAATTTAAATGAATTGAATTCACCAATTATAAAACATAGAGTGGCTGAATAAATACAAAATATTTTATGGGCCCAGCTATATGCTACCTACACGTCATTCACTTTGGCTTTAAAGACACACATAGGATCAAAGTAAAGAGAAGGAAGAACATCGACAATGCAAGTAGAAACCAAAAGAAAGCAGGGGGACCTATATTTATAACAGAAAAATAAACTTTAAGCCAAAAACAGTAACAAGGGACAAAAACATCATTATATAATGATAAAGGGCTCAATTCATCAAGAAGGTATCAAAATTAGAAGTACATATGCACCCACACTGGGGCACCTAAATCTATTAAGCAAGCATTAACAGATCTGAAGGGAGAAATAGACAACAACATTACAATCATAATAAGGGACTTCAATAACCCACTTTCAGCAATAGAGAGATCATCCAGACAGAAAATCAGCAAGGAAACAATGAACTTGAGCCATATATTTGGTCAAATGGAACAAACAGGTGTTTGTACAACATTCTATCCAACAGGAGAAAGACACATTCTTCTAATGTACCCATAGATCATTGTCCAGGATAGACCACGTGATAGGACACAAATCAAGTCTTAGCAAATTTAGGAAGACTGAAATCAGACCAAGATTCTTTTCCAACAACAATGTGATGAAACTAGATTTCAACAACAAAAGAAAACCTGGAAAATCTATCTATAAATACATGAAAATTGAACAACCCACTCCTGAACAACCAAATGGTCTAAGAAGAAGTCTAAAGAGAAATAAAAAATATCTAAAAACAACAGAAAATAGAAACACAACATAACAACTTGCATACCAATTTCTAGTAAGGGTGCCAGCTCCAAAAAGTTGCTAGCTTGGACTCAGGACACAGGATCCAGACATTTTGAGTGTAGGGAGTACAACGTCTTTGTCTATTTCTCTCATGTGAATGAGGACAGGGCTCAGTGAATGGGGACAGGTTGGGTTCATGGGCTCTCCCAGTGCTGACAACAGGCTAATGCCTCTCCAGCAGTCAGGGGCCACTGAGCCTCTCACTTTCCTCTCATAACAACAAGGAACTGATTCAGGTTTCCCCATTGGGGGTGTCTGCAGTGATCAGAGTGATAAACTCTTAGGGGAGGGGGCTGCATCCATGAAGTCAGAGATGGCTTCGCCACACCTACTTGTCCAGGGAAGTGAGCTCCAAACCTCAGTACAGCCCTCCCTTAGCTCCTGATCCCCAAGGTAATTCAATTTATCACACATTATTGAACAACAAAATGTGTTACACCTTGTATATAAGTGATACAAGGACTCATTCTACTCCCAATGACCACATGAAGTGTGGAGCACACAAATCTACAAACACCTCTCACCAAGTGCAATAGTCTTCCTGAGTCCACAGGAGGAGATGACTCACAGGAGGAGATGACTGAGCTTGAGGAGGGTCAAGCTTAATGGGAGGTGATGTTTCGCCCCAGCCTNTGAGGTCGGAATTTATATTTCCAAGTTTCTGAAAAGACTCCAAAACACCCACAGCACCACCTGGTGGCCTCTGATAGGCGCACTCAAGGCTTCCAGGACTGCGAATGGCAGCTTTAGCCTCCTTGGCGTTTTCATGCTCACACTTGGTCTCATTCACTCAATCATTCACAGAGCATCCAACCAGCATCAAAGACTATCCAGCTTCTCTGGGAAGAATCATCGTAAGCAAGCGTAAAACCATCACCTCTGGAATCTGAGAAACTCTCCTGATTCCTGTTCAGTGGGTCCTGTCTAAGGTTCTATTTCTGCTTTTCAAAGAAACCTCAAATGATAGAAGAAGTACTCTGGCCTGCAATGCATAGTAGTCTCTCATCAGGAGAGACTCTGGCCCATGGTTCTGGGAAGGCTGAACAATTAGGAGACCTGTGCTGGTCCTCAGCACGTGCAAGCTCAGGGCTACTGGCATGATCTCCTCACTTAATCTCTTTTCATTCCCTGAGGTGGCATTTCCTATAGTACAACTGTGGAAACAGGTGCAGAAACTAGCACAGACCCATCAGCCAGAATTTCATCCAGATACGTGATTCCTGTTTCTGGGAATATGACTTAGAGTCCACCTCCATTAAAATCGCTTCAGGAGCCAATTGCACCAGCTCCTGTGGTCTGCTGGGAGCCTGGGGACCAGGACCATGCACTGGGGGTGAGCCAGGGATGCCCAGGTACCCACAGAGATCCATTCTCCTTNGTTTCCTTTTTGATATTACAGATTACTTTTCCCAAAGTAGGGAGAAACAGAAATCGTATAACATTGAAAAATATGTTCTACTTCTGTAGAATATCTTATTGTTCATTTGTTGCAATGACATACTACACTAGAATCAACAACCAAATACCTACATGCTTTTTGGTCCTTGTTTACCAGCCAGGGGCCAAGCCTGGTACTTGTGTGTTGTAGGATAGGTCCTGGTTCCCTGTCGGGGTGTGGTGAAATGATGTGAAAGTTGTGATTCAATTCCTACTCCTACTAACAACGTCAGAGGACTCCTTCTTTCCATTCCTGTGCACCACTTCTTACAGAGATACTGAAATTTTGTCAATGTGATGGGCATGTCAGGGTATCCCATTGTTCTTTTGCTTTATCTTGATGATTTGGGACACATTCAGTCTTTTCACAGGCTTATTCACAATCTGTGAACAGCCCAAAGCATTCGCCCAAATTTAGGGGAATTAGAATTATTATTTATTTGTAAGAGTTAATTATTTATTCTGAATAGTGATCCTTTGTCCATGGGGAAATAAAACAACTTTGAGAAGTAAGAGATTTTTCTGTGGTGAAAACTTCTCACTGAAAAGGGGAGTGGAGGGAGGGAGGAAACGGGGGTGGGGGGTGGAGCTTCACAGGAAAGTCACTGCTGGGGGTGGAGGAATGGGGCAAAATCAGAAAGATTGCCATTGCTTAAGTCCCAGGATATTTGTTTGCATCCAGAGTATCAGGATAATGTTCAAAAACGACACATGATACCTATTAACTTAAGAGTGACCCTTAAAATCGATGTTTCCACAAGAAATCTAGCAGAATCACTGATAATATTTACCCTATAACACAGAAGAATAGTGAAATGCCCTGAATTCTCTACTGGGTTATAAAACAAAACTCCAAAGTAACTAAGATTTTAGAATACAGAGGCATTTATATAAATATCATTGTAGGGCAATAAGTTACTAAAGGGAACAATCATAAACAAAATTTCTTTGTGTTTAAAATGCAATGAGGTTGACCTTGCCTGTACCCACCCTGAGCCGGTGGTTCTCCACACACCCAGCATCCAGTGGGATGTGCCGCCCAGCGACCAAGCAGACATGGGCAGAGCCATGGTACCAGGCTGGACTGGAGCTGCTGCTTCTGGCGCTGCTCCTATCCACACAGATTTATTCAAATCAAACAACTATTGTAACACCTTCAAGTAACCCCTCCCACAATACCTCCACTACCACAGGTCCAGCGAAGGCCACCACCAAGGCAAGCGGTGCTGGTCACTGCAGGCACACAGCCAGTCTCTTTGTTCTCCCTCCTCCATCTCTACTGTTAAGAGGCTCAGGCCAAGAAACAGCTGTACTTCCCCATCTTCTAAACCCAACCCAAATGGCATCTAGACACCCAGTGTGATAGGGAAAAAAACAGGTCTTCATCGAATGTGCTAATTCCACACCTTGTTTTATTGACACAGGAAATGTGGAGGGTCTCAGGTTTCACTGGTTTGAAAAGCATGGGCAGGGCTTGACTATGTGATTGCCAATATTAAATCTGCTGGAGTTTCATGGAGATGAAGAGAGACACATCCAGAATTATTTGAGATGATTTCCTTAAATGTGGCTTAAGTATGGACACATAAAACTACCTTGAAAATGAACAGATTGTACCTTATCTAGAGATAAAGGATGGGATTTGGAACAGATTCAGCTTTCATTTGGTTCACTAAAGACATAAGGCCATAAAACAGTTAGGGAATGCAGAAAGCTTCCCTGATTCTATTTGTATGTACCTTAGAAGGAACTTCCAGGTGTTCTGGCAAATCCTCAGTGTATTGTGTCACAGTACTAATTTAATGCCGATGTAACTCTAGATCAAGTTTCCCATTGTTAAACTATCTCTGTTCTCTTGGAAACTGAACTCTTTCCTTTGAGGTTTTGGATTGGACATTGCATTTGACTTTTTACACAGTAGTTGACGTGTGTCAGAGCAGTGATGGATTGCAATGTACCCCAAATTCAAGCATAATGAGTCAATTTTGGGTGCATACTTATCACTTATTCCTATTCAAGAGCGCCGGGTTCGTTTAGCTAAACTAATTCCAAAAAGTAGATGTACATTGACCTCAACCAATTTCAAAGTGCTTTTTATTTCTGCATAAGTTGAAGAATTTTTACAATTTAAAAAATCGTATGTTTTGAAGGTAAAATTGACAAATCTTAAAATCGAAAAGGCAAATATGTGAAGGAGCCAAAACTGTATATCAGATATTTTGGAAAGTGAACACTGGAAGCTTCTCTAAATTAAATACAGAAAAGCTTTTATGTTCTCTGTGTATATACTTTAAAAAACAACTATGAATCAGAATAGCCACATTTGGAACACTTTCTGTTATCATTCAATATTTTTGGATAGAGCCTGATCCTACTAAGCTTAATGTGGGCTTGATTCTGGAAAGTAAATCTTTTCACAACTGTCTCAATGCATGGAAACCTTTTAGAAAATAGACACTCCCTAAAGTCTTTTGTTCGCATGGTCACACACTGATACTTAGAAGTTCCAGCACCTAATATGGCCACAGTAATCTTGAAACCAAAGTCATTTTTTTTTTTGCCATCTTTAGAAACTTACACAGGAACACCAGATCCAACAGATCGCAAGCTCCTGTGTGTGTGAATGAACATTCCCTTTAGTTTCATACCTGAATGCTGTACATCTATTTTGGATTGTACATTGTGTTTGTATACTTATGCTTTGATTCATATTAACTTCTCATGTTATGGAATTGAATTGTATTGAACACAAACTGTAAATAAAAAGAAATGGCTAAAACAGCAAAAATAATAATAATAATAAAACAAAATGCAATAAGGTTGTTTCTGACGACACAGAATTCCTGAGGTTCTGTATTCTTTTTTTTTTTTTGTGGCAATATCATGTCCATGAACCAAAGACATGATGCATAGATGTATCTGATTTTCCGCAAACAAAAAAGATGGAAACATGTTCTCTTTGTTGAGATTTTTTATTCAAGCAATTAAAGTTTAAAGGTAGAAAATTCATGCCTCAAGATCAAGAGAAAGTGGCATAACATGGTTTTTAAAAAACATAAAATAAGATAATCAGCAAATGCAATGAAGAACATGAGATGTTGTATGTACGAGGTATGATAATTCAGTTCGCGAATTCATCCTAGAAAAAGTGCTACATACCTCATTGCTGAATATCACTACGGTCACCTTCGAAGTACTCCCCTTGGGAAGCTATGCACCAATGCCAGTGCCTAGTCCACCCTTCAAAGCAATTTTGGAACTCTTTTTNAAGATATCACAATTGGAAATGTATATACACCTACAATGAGGCACCTAAGTCTAGTAAGCAAATAATAATAGATCTGAAGGGAGAAATAGACAACATTACAGTCATAATACAGGACTTCAATAACCCACTTTCAGCAATGGATAGATCATCCAGACAGAAAATCAACAAGGAAACAATGAATTTGAGCCACATATTTGGTAAAATGGAAATAACGGATGTTTATAAAACATTCTATCCAACAGGAGCAAACACACATTCTTCTAATGTACCCATAGATCATTGTCCAGGATAGACGACATGATAGGACACAAATCATGTCTTAGCAAACTTACGAAAACTGAAATCAGACCAAGTTTCCTTTCCAACAACAATGTTATGAATTTCATTTCAACAACAAAAGAAAACCTGGAAAAAAACATCTATAAATATGTGAAATTGAACAACCCACTCCTGAACAACCAAATGGTCAAAGAAGAAGTCAAAGGAGAAACCAAAAATATTTAAAAGGAAAAGAAAATAGAAACACAACATAACAACTTGCATACCAATTTCTAGTAAGGGTGACAGATCGAAAAAGTCGCTAGCTTGGACACAGGACACAGGGTCCAGACATTTTGAATATATGGAGTACAAGGTCTTTGTCTATTTTCATAATTTAAATGAATGAAATACACAACAGTATTTAGAATAGTTATTGAGTGTTTACTACACTCAGTGGATGGGACAGGGATGGGTTAATGGGCTTCCCCAGTCCTGACAACAGGCTAATGCCTCCCCAGCAGTCAGGGGCCACTGGGCCTCTCACTTTCCTCTCATAACAACAAGGAACTGATTCAGGTTTCCCTGTTGGGGGTGTCTGCAGTGATCACAGCAATAACCTATTAGAGGGGTGGGCTGCACCCGTGAGGTCAGAGATGGCTTCGCCACACCTACTTGTCCAGAGAAGTGAGCCCCAAACTTCAGTACAGCCTTCCATAAGCTCCTGGTCCCCAAGGTAATTTAATTTATCACACATTATTGAACAACAAAATGTATTACACCTGATGTATAAATGATAAAAAGATACATTTATCCCAATGACCACATGAAGTGTGGAGCACACAAATCTACAAACACCATTCACCAAGTGCAATAGTCTTCCTGAGTCCACAGGAGGAGATGACTCACAGGAGGAGATGACTGAGCTTGAGGAGGGTCAAGCTTAATGGGAGGTGATGTTTCTGTCCAGTTTTAAAGCAGGGCCAGCTCTTGGTGATGAGACAGGAAACAGCAGCCAGAAGAAAGAGCCGAACAGAAGCTTGAAGGCACGACTGTGATGACCAAGGAGCAGGCCAAGGTGCCTGTACCATACGGTGGTGGAGAGCAGGAGAGGCCAGGAAGCGAGATGGGACATAGTGCATGTGTGGCAAATCCCTTCCAACATCATGATTTCCGGGAACAAAATGCACCATGAACATACACACACAGTGGGCTGAGAGGCTTGATCTGTCTCAGAGCTGCTAAGCCCTCTTCTCTTATTTAGTTACCTGGAGGCTCTGCATCAAAGTGATGGTCAGGATCTATCAACAGTGAATTTGCACACCTTCCATTCCCAGCCTGAGAAGCTTGTGCCTCTACAGGGCCTGGGCTGACCATGCTGATGAGGGAGAGGGAGAAGCTGATGAAGGCTGGAGACCAGAAGGGTGAGAAGGGAACGAAGGGAGGGAAGACCTGTTTGTATACAAGGAACAAATGTGATGGAGACAGGAGAGGCTCAAAAAAAATTTAAAACATCTCTGGTGTATTTATTGACATATTTCTCTACTTACATCAAATTCTGAAAATTAAGTTTTTCCTAAGTTCTCATTTTTACCAGCTTTCTCAAAAATACTGAAACAAATAAAAACTTACAAAAACATTGCAAGTTCATTAAAAAACTCCTGTTCATGAGCTATTTGTGAGTCAGCTGGCACCCTGATATTCCATCACTGCTGCATACACTAGAGTGTATCTCCTAAAAGCAGGGCACACTCTCTAATATCACCCCAATCCTCAAAATAGACTTCACATTGATACATTAGCGCCAATGCATCCTTAGTCCCCATCAAGTCTCACCAAGAATGTCCTCTATTCACCAATGACATTCAGGAAAAGAATCTGATGGACTGAGGTATTTCTATCTCTTTGTTACGGTAAAGTTGTAGTTTATGAGTGTTTCATTTGCCCTTTTGTAATACGTATGCTTTCTCAAGACGTGTGGAGAGATTTGTATGTAGATGGTCACTGTTCCTGTGGGTCAACCAGAAGTCACCATTAATATTTTTGAAAGATTAAAAAATTTTCATCCAGACTTTTGGTTTCATTTTTGACAGTAGTTCAGATTATCTAGACTGCCAGGTAGAGAGAGAGAGAAATCTTTTACCAACATTTTCAATACATTTTCCTTTTGTTGGCTATTTAGCTTGTTG